TACCTACCTGCCTACACACAGACATACACGCAGGTATACCGATATTCATACGTATATACATATGTACATATACACACACACGTGCTCGTGATCTACATGTATATACATATATACACATGTACACAATGTACACACTTGTCACCCAGCCCAAGGTGAACTTGACAAATCCGTCGGACACCGGCCAAGCTGCGACGAGGGCATACTACTTTGACAGAGCGTACTGGCATCTTGTCTGCCTTCGCTTCGGGGTTTGAGTAGGCTTCTTACCCTGCCTGCTCGGTGCAAGAATGCTGCAAGAAGGTCTGCCAAAGAATCAGATCCCCACTACGTCTCCCAGGCCGGCTGAAGTGAGGGCAGGAAAGGAACCAGACCAATTTCGGATGCCGGATCTCATTTACGTAGCCTGAACTCTGCTATAGGAGCACCTGATGGACGATCTGGGACATGAGTTGCGAAGCAACGTGTCGCCTGTCTGCAAGTGGTAGGCCCCGGCTGGTGTCCAACGAAACCTGGCTCTCAATTCCGAACGAAGGCTGGATGGTTACAACAGCTGCCTCTTTGCCTATGGTCAAACAGGCGAGGGCCTCAGGCCATGCTGAGACCGCCAGACCGCCAGATCTCAGACCCACACATGAAGAGATAGCAAGTGTCTCGACCTCGTCAGAAGCCTAATTTTCGCCGCTCAGCCCAGACGCACAAAGCCTGAGTCTTGAACGTTAAGATCTGCAGCCATTTTGGCTCTGGCTCTTCCGACTCTTTCTCTGGCTGCTTGACAAATGACATCGTCGGGGTCGCAGGCCAAGAAGGCTTGGTCGTTCATCCGCGACCAGCCCAGAGGCGCCTCTTTCGCAGTCGTCCGGAGACACTCATTCAGACACGAAATGCCGCGTCCATGTCTGGAGCCGCCCAGTCGAGTCCATCTCTTCGTGCCGTGCAAACCAGGTCACATTGGACGTGCACCCGGCATTGTCCATTTCCATCCTACAGACGATTTCCGTGGCCTTGAGCACGGCCGTCCCAGCATGGAGTTCGAAGGTGCCATCTTCAATCGCCATGCTTTCCACAAGCTCAAGGAGAAAGAGGCCACTCGACGCAAAGAAGGTCCCAGTCGTCCTATGACAGCGGACAAAGGCACGGCGAGCTCAGGCCAGGACGCTCCCCAAGATGCACCTGCAGACGGAGGATGTGACCCCGGGGGCAATTCATCGACAATGCCTGACAAGCCCTCCGTCGATGGCAAGGGAGGCGGCCCAGACAACTAGCAAGCACAGCGACCGATACACATGAAACCGTGTCCGACTGGACTTCAGCGACTACGTACTGCACGGGCGCCGAGGAGTGGACGACGCGTCGTCCCAATCAGAGTAGAGGTGCTCCAGCCAGAAATCCAACCGCGGGACTCTCGGTCTCTGCGGTCTTGTCCTGGAAAATCGGCTTCTGCCAGTAGAACATGCTTTCGTCAGGGGCCAGGAAGAAGCCTTTTTGCGAATTGAATTGGTTCGTTAGTTCGCTGCATAGCAGCCGCCTGACGACCTGGCAGCCAACCTTTGTGTTCCGTGTGCTAGGCTCATCACCTGTTTTTGTGCACGCGTCATGTCTCAGAAGAGATATGACGAGACGTAGCATGCTGTCACTTGCCCGCACGGTATGGATGAGAGGGAGATGCGTAGTTTCCTCGGAGGTTTGAAGTGGGTTGGATTGTCTGGAAGTCCCTCTCGGCCTTTGCTGTGGAACTGCTGTGGGAGCAATCAGTGTTGTAGTCATAGCTACTGCTGAGTTGTGAAAATTGCTTCCGCAGGTGCAGACAGGGGCTTAGCCCCGGCCCGATCGTTGCGGATCTTTCGGACTACTAAGCAGAAGGAAGGAAAAGGGGCCTTGAAAACAAACTGAACTCGATAAGTTACGCTTGTGGCTCGAAGTTTTCCTGCTACTTGTAGGAGATGCATGTATTCTGCTGATGCAGCCGCTTGTGCTGGTGCTTGGAGTTCGGGTGTGAAGGCCTAGGGTAGAGGAGCATAGGGTTCCTTCTACGCCAGCCTCTTCTCTTCTATGCGAAAGTCTTTTTCTTGCATAGGTAAACAGAGTATGTGTCTCTTCTAACTGTAACTCGTAATTCTCCATGCCTCTGTTGCATGGTTTGCTACACGTGAAACCCTAATTAAGACCTTAAGCCATTAAGGGATGAGACTTGGGCAATGCATTTACTTGTTGTCGATCCTCATCATAGCTGGAATGAGCCTTAGCTTTGGGTTAAAGAACGAAGCCACTGCATCTTCACGATAAGGTGTCACCGCCAACCGAACACACACAACAAGAGCCTCGCCCAGCATAAACCCTAAACCCTGAGGGGGACTCGGGCTTGTGTGAGGCAGCGGAAAGACCTACAGCGTTTTGGGAAGTGAAAGCCCCCCAGAGTGTCGGGGGCTGTTGCCGCGGATCGTGGAGGCCACAGATTTCCGCTGTGGGATTTTCCATGTTAGTGATGTCTCCGGACGGGACGGATTCAGAAAGGTAGCTACCGGCGGGGCTTGACCCTCCTCTTTGACTGGTCGAATCGGTGGTCTGTTCAGCTTTGCACCGTAGCAAGATTGTCGTTCCCCTCCCTGAAGCCGTGGAGGACATCTTCAAGATCATTGAACAAGCCCCGAATGAGTTTGCCACAACGATCTCCTACCTGGAGACCGGGGCTCAGTCGACTGGAGGGCCTTATGACTTATGATGTCGAGACGAGGAGAAAACCGCAGGTTCAGACAGTGATTGTGGCTCGAGATGTATGACTACCATTATTTTTCATTATTATTATTATTACTTGTATTTCGATTATGCCCACTGTTACAGTTTGGGAGCTCAGGCAGAAAACGGATTCCGACTCTGTCAACTCACGAAAAGAGAACTATTGTTAGAGCTTCGGCTTTTGGGTTTGGGGTTTGAGGTTTAGGCTTAGGGTTGCTGCCGCGAGTCCAGCAGCTCTGAGAACTAGGCGGACATGTACAAGTTTGCGCAAAAGGGTTTAGGAGTTCGATATTTCAAAAAGCCAAAACATGTTTTACCCGGAGCTGAATATTTTGAGCCGGCCGATTGTACTCCACAGGACACGGGGCCCGTAATGTGTTATTTTCTGTATTTTTATTTTTGTTATTATTTTCATTGGCGGTATTATTATTGGCATTGTTATTGTGACAATTGCTATCATGTGGTATTTTCAATCCCTTCCAACATCGCCGGGCGCTGTCCGAGAGGTGAAGCAGTGATCCGGCATGCCAAGGTTGTGAGCGTTGCAGCCCTATGCCATCCAATGCCTAAGCCCGAAACCCTGGGTGCGCCAAAAGGGAAGCCCGAAAGCCGAAACTCCCAGCTTTGTAAATCCGTCAGCCCCAAGCCCAGGATCTACAACGAGAAGATCCGCGACCTCCTTCGGTCGGGTCAAGAGCAGCAACTGCGACTCGAGGTGGATGCAAAGAGCTTCTGAGTCTTGTTAACGGCCTACATTTGCGTGTTCGGTCGGGGTCGGTGTCTAGGATGTACGTACAGGTTTTCTTTACGGGTGGAGGTGCCAGGCTCCAAAGCCTGCACGGCTTTGGTCGTCAGCTTTCCTCTTGCTCTCGTTTCCTGGGTGCACAAGGTTCTCTCAAAACACCCTCAACCCTCGACCTCCCATCTTTGTCGTGGGAAGTCAAAAGTCGAAGGTGCCAGGCTCCTGGGACACCGAGAGTACTGCTAGCAGGTCGTGATGGGTTGCAGCGCAGTCCGATCTTTGACGGGAGCTCAAGGGTGATGCTGTCCATAGCCGGACATACACACACGCATATATATATATATATATATATTTATTTATTTATTTATTTAGTTGCTTGTATATATTGGCGTATACAGACAGATAGATAGATAGATAGATAGATAGATAGGTAGATCCTTACGTACATACATACATACATACATACATACATACATACATACTTGCTTATTTACTTACACATATAGGTAGATAGGTAGACAGATAGACAGATATAAGTACTTGTTTGTTCACCATGTATTCAACTCTTTATGTGTTTGCCTATGTGTTTATTCATAGTTTTATCTTGAACGTGGTTATTTATATGTATACATATATATATATACACAGACACATGCACACATGCGTACATACATACATACATACATACCGACAGCACATGTTCTGATGAGCCACGGGCTACAACGCATTCTGAAGTGGCTTATTCCTCTGTGCTGAATGCCATCAGCAACGTGTGGACGCTTTGGATTCTTAATCTTTTACACCCTGAAGCCGAAATCTTAAAGCGAAGCCTCCAGATCGGCGTCTGGTCTTTGCAGGTCCGAGCCAACCCGAAGTACGGAAACTTTGTGCACCTCGGTTGTGAGCAGGGCTCCTGTCCCGCAGCGTGGGGTACATATGCCTTGATTAGGAACGCTAAGGGGTATGAACTTAGAAATTCCTGACCTCTATAGTACGCATTGCTTGCCCTGCCAACAAGCAGAACAACATGGCCCGAGAGGAGGAGTCAAACTCTGGACACGGGTTTGCTAATGCTGTCCCCGAAGCAAAAGCAATTCTCTGTCTACTTACGGGCGAAGCAGGTTTGAAATCGTTGCTGTTTCAGGTATGGTCTGAAGGAAGTTCCCGTCATGGCAACTTGGAGTGCTTGCGGGATTGCGACGGTTTGAGTGGATGATGTGCTTCATGGGCTCTGCTGTGCTTTCCTGGACTGTAGCCTTGCTGCGAAAACCCCAAACAGGCTGTCAAATCAGTGAAACCTACTGTTAGTTCTCTTGTCTCAACTTCTGACCAGTATCGCTACAGACCTTGCCAGGCTTTGTCCGAGTGTGAGTGTCGAAAAACCCCTAAACCCTGAACGGTATCACGAGTTTGCTGCGTATTTTCCAGCAACTTCGGCTCACTTCTTTGGAGCGTCAGGATCTCCATCTGTGAATGGCAGCCTACCCTAAACCCTATATAATCCTAAACCCCAAACATATCACCCTAAACCCTGAATATGCAACCCTAAACCCTATATGTAACCTTAAACCCTAAACCCTTAAATACATAGCCCTAAACGCCTGCATTGTCCGAGTGTGAGAGCCGAAACTCCT